TTGACGCTCTACAAATGCCAAAATAGGATGTTATTTTAATGTATCTTTTTAACAGTAACCAAGTATTTTGTCCATCAAATAAACCCTTCCAGAGGTTGAGGTCTTGTTGTTGCGTATTTGTCCCTAGAAGTAGGCCATATTTTGTACAATTATAGTTATACATAAATTAACATTTTAGACCCTCAAACCACCGTATGGTGTCAAAACTGACCACAGGCGTATATGAATATGTGCCATTTTGACATGTCCAAAGGACATTCCTTCTATGAGTTTGTTTATATTTTCAGTTGTGTTTATCTGTCTGTCTGTTGGTCAACAAAACTAAAGAACGGCTGGATGGATTGGTTTCATACTTGCACACCTGCACAAACACACACGTACGCGCGCGCACACACAGACACAAACACACGCATCCTTTTTGTCTTCAAGTTGAACAAGGCAGTCCAGGGTAGTGTCAAAACTAGGATGTTTGCATCCTACTTTTGACACTACAATCTGCTACAAAAGGCATAAAACGGTTCTGACGTTTTATGGTTTACGGTTGCTATCGTTTTTTTACATGTTCTGCCTTAGCCCTTCTTAATTCAAACAGGTGTTTCCGTGTTATCGTCTGTGATTAGATGCTTATAGAGACATATCCTATCGCACTGCTGACAGTGCCTCTTCAGTTGTAATAGAGCCTTAGGCCGTGTTTATGTGAAGTCACCCAAACCGCGATTCGGGTAACTCACATTCTTCACATCTGGTCCACGTGCCACACATTCCTTTGAAACCGTGCCCGATCACAATTCACTTGAGCTACATTTATTGTTGTTTGATGAAAACACGCAAGGTAGCGTGTTATTAATGTCAGAGGTCAACGACCTGCTTGCTGGTGCCCCCCTCCCAGCGTATCTCGGCCGAATGCCGACGTGGTCCCGCCAGAGGCGGTGGAGCTCGTCCTAGAACGGACACATTTGACCATTACTGCTCTTTAAGTTGCTGCCACGTAAAAGTTGGTATTGCATAAAAATAAAGAAATTTCACCCCGTAATCCATGACCAGGCGAAGATACATTGAAATCACATTGCGTTCAGACGCAAATCGCGATGCGGGAAAACCGATTCGAAACCACCT